CACGTTTCTGACATTCGTAGCGCAGTTAGAGGGACCGTGCTCTTTCCATGCTGTCTGATTATTTTCTTAAAATTAAAAAAAAAAGCTTTCCGAGGAGCACTTACAGGAAGGTCTTTCAGGGTGTGCCAAGCTTTTTCAAAACGGTCTTTTGCATGATATAGGGGCACATGCGGGAACCACAGAACCATGGTTAATTTTTCCTGAACGGCCCTCTGAATACCAGAAAAGGGGGTCCCTAGTCACACCTTTTTCACCAGTTTTTCAATCAAAGTCTATTTGTAAGGGTTACTGACGGTCCTAATCATGAATATGGTACTAATTATTCATGCTAACTCCATTTTGCGCGAATTTTGGAAACGTCAACTCGAAATGCAAAAATTTGTCACCACGAGGAATCGAACTAGGGACCCTTTTCTGGTATTCAGAGGGCCGTTCAGGAAAAATGAACCATGCTTCTGTGGTCCCCATATGTGCCCCAATGTCATGCAAGAAACCATTTTGAAAAAGCTTGGCACACCCTGAACGACCTCCCTTGTTAGTGACCTCGCCGGTCACTGTCAGCATGAGGATAGGACAAGAGCAGTTGCAACGAGTTTGTTGAAAATTTTGAGATTATCATGGCCTCGAAATTTCTATCCTGAGGCTTGTCCACATAAAACCCTGAAACTAGTTGTTACGGAGTGCTCTCTGAACGGATTGCTCGAAATTACGCAAAAAAAAACCAAGGAATCCTTTCCGCCTCTTACACTGTCACAATGTCCATCTACCAAATGTGGTTAACCCTGTAGGGAATTGTGCAACGGACAGTCGATACTCACAAGGAACCCATCTTCGATAGTCTGGGGATTGATGAGAAGTCGACAAACACTTTAATTTTACCGTTTTTCGCCTTCCTGTCGTCGTTTTGTTTACTCTCGAATTTCACCTTAGCACTCAAAATAACTCATTTTTAGTGCGCAATCCACATGTTCACAGCTGCTAGGAACTACAGTGCTCTTTTACCCATTCGTCAAAACACTGTCAGTTTTCAACACAGAGGACAGGCTCAGTGTTATCCCGTACTTGCGGTCACACGTCCACTTGGGTACTTAATGTCTGGACAATGAAAGGACAAAAGCGACACACGTCGCACTCTACCAAAGTGCTAGGATCAAACTGAACTATTACATCTGAGCGAAAACAGAGCAGGTGTTGCCTCGGTGAATAATGGTGCACTGTTGAATGGTTTGAACTTCCTCTATAAAATCTATAACATATGATCCAGCAGTATGTGACTTAATTACTGAAAAATTCCTCGACTCTCGAAGTAAAGGCACTTTTTATTACTGTCTTTACACAGTTATGTCTTAGAGATCTCCGATCTTTTACAGTGATCATGTTACTGCGATAATCAGTTAAGGAGAAATATGTGTTACAGCACAGAATTGCTTGCTCGATAGCAAGCATGTATCAAACACTATGACTTAAGGTGACTGACTTATTACCTTCATCAAAAAGCCCGTCCTACAGCACTGTGGTAGGTCCAACAGTGAAAAAGCAGAGTTCTACAGCACATTTCTCATGGCTTAGAGTTCGGTTTCAAAAGGCTTCCGTAGCAGCTTTACTGCACACCAGGGTGAACAACGGTCGAGGAACTCTTCCACAATGGGAGCTTTCGCCTTGGTGAGGCCCAACGATGTAGCTATCAGTCAGTCAGTAATTGACTGTCGCCACTAATCGGAAACCTTTTTCCTTGTCGTAAAGCAGTGATGGTGAAACCATAGAGGAAAGTTTAGGTGGAAAGTTCCTGTGAGAAGCTATGACTCAAGGTCTTCCTTATCAATTTGAGAAAAAATGAGGAATCACAACCTATGGCAAAAAGAAGCAGAAGAATCTCAACTGTAGTTACTTACTCCTTGTTCTAGTTATGATATCCTTGTTCATTCATAATATCATTAATTTCACACTGCCTGGTCGTATTGCGTTCTGCGTCTGATTAGTTACTTTAAGGCTATGCGAGACGAAACCTGGCTATGGGTCAGATTCAGAAGACTGTGCACCAGGGTCAAGCGTGCGTTGAGGAATCCTCGACATGTCACAGAGGGGGGGGTCGTATTGGCCCGCTGGGGAGAGATCGGGCCCGATTGATACAGTAGGATCATCGTCGGAGGACAAACATTAAGGATCGAATCGATACCAGGCCAGAGTATTTCCAATAACAATTGATTCCGTCCACACAAAATCTTCGTGATTTAGAGGTGTCCGCTTAGCAGTTCTTAATGACTT